TCAAGCGTGTAGCAGAGGCGAACGGGCGTATCGACACATGTTAGACACAAGCGCCATCTGGCAGTTAGTTATCTTCGAAAACGAAGGCATACAGCCCGCGAAGAAAGATGCGCGCCAGTCTCGGAGGTGATAAGGTGTAGAACGCAAAGCGACGGGCAGGTGCCACCACCGTGACGTCGTAGCAAAGCATTGGAAACACCTTTTTGAGCATCGCGTTGCACAGTGCGATAAACGCTACATTCCTTAGAGTTACTTGTGTGGGCCTCTTCTAGTATAAAGGCAGACATACAAAACTTCGAAGTGTTGTTATGGCGCCTCAGATATGCGCAATTGCTTTTTAATTGACAATTGCACAACTATGAACGCTAAGCCTCGAGTAATATTGGTGGGCGCTGCGAATGGGGTCGGCCGTTTGGTGCCGTTTGAGGTATCGTTAGGGCGAACAAACAGACAAATGTACAGACAGACCAAAATTTTTTCGTCGAAGGTCCTCAAGAAAGACTACCGTCTTTAAAAAATGACCACCATGGCCTGATATGTGTCACCCCTTGTGATTTTTCTGGATTTACGCCGCTGTGTAGCATACTAGGATGATAGTGCAGCTTGCTTTTGGTTTCGCTTAGGCCTACTGGGTGGTCCCACGGTACAACTTGATTTTTTTTAGTTTGCCAATACTATTTTGGAGTAGGTTTAGAGCAGTTACTAGCAAATATTTCACTTTGGAGCAGCTTGGAGCAATTGTAGCAGCACTTCCATCACTGCAAATTTGGTGTTACGTGACACGAATGGATGACGAAGGTATATGACTGGTGAAACTTGATAATCATTACACGTGTGTCATGTAAGAACATGACCACATGCCACGCTCATAATGCACTCGCGGCCATTTTGCTAGCTTCACATATACCCAATTCGGTTTTATGTGACGTGAATGGACGACAAAGGTAAATGACAGGTCCAAACATGATAATCATAATATGCATGTCATGTAAAACATGACTACAGTAAAATCTTGGTATAACGAACAACACCTTAACAAACGTTTCAGAATAACGAACTTATACAAAATCCCACGCTGACTGCTAATAGTTTCAATGTAAAATGATTTCGCTACTACGTACTTCAGCCGAACTTTTCAGAATAACAAGCGCTAATTTAGTTTTGCGTTATATTAACAACGCCTCAGTACTACGAGTTCATTTTCTGAAATTCGCCGTGACCACTGGAGCGGTACGCAAGCATACAACACAGCAAACGGACGCCTTACTTTTCGGAAAACGCAAGACAGTGCGGAGAGGGGAAAAAAAAATGAAAAGAGGACTTTCTTTTCTTTCTTCATGCTGAAAAACGCCAATAACGCAGGTTTACAAGCGCAGAAACAAGGGCAACACGGGAGGGCAAGGTCAGCGAGACAGGCATGGGCGTGGAAAACCTGAGAGAGCGAGGGAGCAGGAAATCAAACGAGAGGAATTTCTTTTTTTAGCTCTTTCTTTTCTTCGGAAGAGGCAATGACAGCTGCGATGCTTCTGTTTTTTCTTTAAATCTTTGTCACTTCTACACGTGCTCTAGGAAGCCTCGTCAGTTGTGTTCGTCTCATTTCGGTGATTACTTATCGCGTCCGCAAAGCAAGTCGGCGTTCACGCTGCGGTGCTACTACAATGAGTTCATCTCTGCTTGCAACGAAGAAGCGGAAGCAGTTTTCGCTGAGCGAGAAAGTGGATATTCTTTGGCAACTGGAAGGCAATAAGCAGGCTGTTATGCCCAAAGAACTTCGAATGCATGCATAAAAAAATAAAATAAAATAAAAAATAAGAAAAAATCACAGACTTTTTAAAGTAAACGTGCACTTTTTGGTATTCACATGTGCATTTGTTTTTTCTTGTGAAAAACGAGTTCAAGGACCCACCGCTGTAAAGGTAAGCCGTTTTGGTTGGCGGAAAATAAGTATTTACGCTTATTTTAGGGCTTTCACTATAACGACCTTTCAAAATAATGAACAAATTGCCACGACTCCCTGAAGTTCATTATACTGAGATTTTCCTGTACATGCCACGCTCATAGCGCACTTGCGGTCGTTTCGCTAGCTTCACATATACCCAATTTGGTATTACATGACGTGAATGAATGAAGGTATATGACTGGTACAAACATGAAAATCATGACATTCATGTGATGTAGCTTATGTTTCTTATCGTAGCTTAGGTTATCTAGAAAACATGTGTCTGATAGCGTGATTAGGTAAACGACAGCCCAACTACGTTGCGCATGTGTTGAGGAGAAGTGGGTTTATAATAGCCTGTTTCCTCAAGGAATAAAAAGTCGTAAGTGAGTGCGCGTGCTGTCTATGTGTTTTCTTCCTCTGTGTGATTGTGAATTTGGCACGAAGTTGACTAGTTAATTCTTAAAACTCTTATCATTGCAAAATTTGCATAAACTGTAATCATGTAATCGAGATTCTACTGTACGTACACTGGAGGCTTTAGGACTTTGCACATTATTTCGCATGTGTTCACAAAATACGATTGTAATTTGGGCAGCCCCTTCTTGGAGTTTCGAAATATTGAAATAAAATTCTGTTGAATTACCGCTCGTACAATAGTTTCAGTGCCGCTGTGACGATTTGATGAACCGCTCATACAGGAACTGCACCTTTTTGACTCTGAGCAGTCCGCCATGTCGTCCACCATTACTGCCGAAACAAGCGACCAAAACAAGCGAGTGAACATGTCGCGCCAAGTTCCAGTCCACTCAGCCGATTTAAGGTGGAGCAGCTTTTCCTGCTCCTCGGAGCCACTCCCACTCTGAATCCTCTCTCGACTCTCTCACTGGAACACTTGACTCTTGCCCTCACTTTGCCTTTGGAACACATTTCCTCCAAGAGGAGCTGCAAAACTCACTTTGACTCCGCCATCGGAATTCAACATTAATTTTCCTCTCCCCATTCCAGTGTATATGCTTGGACGTGCTCTCATTTAGGATTGCACGAAATAACATCTTTTCCTATTATTCTCCTGCTGGAAACGCTCGCGCCATGTCAGTGCGATGGTGTAAGGTGGCCGGCGCAACCTGCTGCCCCTAGATTTCTTTCTTTTTACCTAAGTACCGACAACTGCCTTCTCTTCCGGCCTTCTCTCATGCGCAGTTGGCTTCTGCCGCCATTTTCTAACTTCGAAAATTTAGAAAGCCACGCACATGTCAGTACATTAGCTATGCATCTTTCAGTGGACACGACACGACTTTCTGCTCCGGTCAGTACTTTTGTGGTTAGTGTGCGGGGGCCTCGTTTTACCAGGTGCTGGCACAGCGTAAGGAAGAACATGGCTGACAAAACCAACATTAGCTAATGAGATTCGTCAATGGCGCTTGAATGGTTGTTGGTACTCAAGAAAGAACAGGAAAAATCTAGAACTTTAGTGCAACCTATTTCACTGCTGCTAGTGGTTGCTTACAAAATTTCGTTGAACTAGAGAACTAGGTTACACCGCATAAAGTTCCAAAAGGTGAATTTTACCTGCAAATGTAAATAACGGTCTCAAACTGTACTCAGAGGCAAAATATGAGGTTGAATTGTGTTCACATAGGCACAGATTTTGAAGATAGACATTTATAAACACTTATACCAATTTAGGCACAAATGCCAAAAATAGGCATTTATAGGTGCTATAAATGTTCTCATTAACCTCTAATTCATGCTCATATATCACAGTCGCCCAGTAGGAATGCAAGAAACAAAGGCATTTTACCTAAAATCCGATCTCTAATGATTACCTGTGGATTAATACACACCTTGATAGATGCTTTCACGGCTTAGCACCCTTCCACTGCAGGGAAAGCATCCATGAAGACTAATATACACCTAATTGTTCACTTCAAATACTTTAAAATTTTCACTAGTTTAAATTCGAATCGAAGAAAATTCAAGTATGATACTCTTTGTTAAAATATTCGAAGCATTTAAATACTCGCACAAGCCTACTTTGAAGAGATACTGAACAGGAATTGAAAATATGACCAATACATCCGACAAAACATCCGAATTCTATTAGGAAGACGCAACTGTTCTGATAAACAGAGTTTGTTTCACATATTTTTGAACAGTTGGCTGTATTTCTGGTGAATAGTCAATGCATGAGCCATGCCCGCGGGCACAAGCCGTGATGTCACCAACTGCCGAGGCGCATGCAGGATGCGCATGTTCCTGTCCTTTTCTACAATGCTTTACGCCAGCCAGAAGTATTGTTTGCTGCCTTTAAAAGTGGTTCCAGAATCCTTAGAGGAAGCTGAGCCGGTTGAGAGACACGAGCCACAGTTGGCATGTCTGTTTCTGGTGTTGTCACCAATGTCACCTTCTCTACTACTTCCCAGTGAAGCCGCTAGACGCAGCATTTTTGAAAAAAAAAAAAAAACGCATTAAATTTGTTATCTACTTCTAGTTTCTGCCGGAAATGAACGGCGTGTCTGTCGATTTTTTGTGGCAAAGTTACTTTCTTTTGTTTTACAGAAAGAGAAGCAAGAGCTAAAGGCCATGTAGCCTGATAGAAGCTCTTACATTTCAGCACTCAATCTTTCAATGTGGCTGAAAATCTCAGCACGGACAATTTTGTTAAATATTATTTTAACTTGTAAAGCTGCTAACTAGAGGCGTACCTTTACAACACACTGTTTCTCAATGGCTTTGCATAGTACCAATTAATTTTGAGTTTGCAGACTTTATTATCCCTTTTTAGTTCATTTCTGCCTATCTTAGAAAAGTTCTAATCATTAATATATCGCTCTCCATGCAACAAGTCTCAATGCAAGTAAATTTACACATATTTTCGCTGTTAGCATTAAACAGGTACAAGCGTATAGACATTCTAACGAAAAGTAATTAGTTTCCAAAGCAATTTTGTTAACGGGGTTGTGGCACAAGGGAAAGTTACAATGCTCTTTCAAAGCATCTTTGTGTGCTGCTGTTGCAGCTAAAGCGAACTATCGATTTGTGGTGAAGCAGGGCCTACCTCTTTGTTGGCACGCCTCTTGGGAATCTCGGCAGTGGAGGCTGGCTGTGCCACATTCCCCAACAGGTCACCAAGGTCATCCAGGTTCAGATTTGGCGTGTCCGGCTGCAATGTTCATACGCAAAAGGCACCAGACATGTAATATACTGCTAGAATGAACCTTGTGTCCATAAACTAATATCTTCAAAGAAGCCCGTGAACTACGAGCTTGTTGGTACAGATTTGCCCAAATAAAAACTTTGCTCACAAACATGTTTGCTATTGCCTTCGTCAACGTCATAATCCCATGACAATATTCATAGTAACAATTAGTGCAAAACAACAAAGATGAGGCAAAGCTAATCCTAGGTCTGTATAGCTTTTGTTGTTTCATTCAGTTTTTCGCCACAATATTTTTAGCTACAAAAATGTTTTGCCTCTTTCAATATTTTTCATTCCTGTTCCAATGCTTCTCTTCCAGTTGAGTACTACTAGAGTCACACTCCACTTCAATGAAAGTTTTTCGATTCCCTGCCTGCATCCCATAGGTTCTAATGTATTAAAACTTCCTCCACAACAAACCATTTTCTTTATTGCTCTCCCAGTTCATTTTCTTTTTGTTTCTCTTGCTGTTTTTAACAAGAAATTCTCATTAGCTGACCAGCATTCAGAGTCTACATTAAGCACTTTCTTGGTTATCTGACAGCTAAAACGATCGTAAACGCACCGAAGTTGACCAAAGTCCACGTAGCCCACCAAATGCTGCAAAACCATAAGACCATGGGGGACGCCATCGTTTCTGATTGATGACGATACTACGCAGCATTCAGTGAAGCACAGAGTTATGCCCTGAAAGCCTGTAAGCTTGGCCAGCCAAAGCTGAGTAGAGTTAACACGTAGGATATTGGCCGCTGGCTCGACTTTTCTTTCAAGTGTTCTGTGGCGTTAGCAGTGCGAGTCCTAGTTAGTCCCCGCCTCGTCTCGTTAGCTGAGTAGTTCGACACCTTGTCAGCTTCGACCTGCACATTTTTTTTTGCCTCGGCCTACAGCAGCGATGCGGCGCTACAGAAAAAGAAACGGAAGTTTCTTTTGCTGTAGCAGAAGGCGGAAATAATTGCCGTGGCAGCAGCAGGACGAAAAAAGGAATGCATCACCGAAAAATACGGTATCTCATCGAGTTCATTGTCAATGATACTGAAGTCCAAAGCGACATCTTAAATGTGCTAGCATCGGGCACATCTGCCCAATGGAAGAAGATGACCCAACTAGCCAACGAAGAACTTGACAAGGCAGTGTATGCCTGGTTTTGGGACACAAGGGCTAAGAGGATACCGATCAGCGGCAGCCCAATTCAGCAGGAAGCCCTAAGCTACGCCTGCATTTTGGGCATCAACGAAAACTTTGGGGCAATTGCTGGGTGGCTCAACCAATTTAAGGAGCGCCATGAGATAGTCAGGAAGTTGCTGTGTGGAGAGTCCACTTCTGCAGACAGAAACGGTGTGCCGATCGTGGATTGCGTCTAACGCTACTGTCATCGTCAAGAAGTACACTGCGGCCAACGTGTGCAATACTGACGAGACCAGACTCTTCTACAAAATGCTGCCAGCTAAGATGCTCGACTTCAAAGGCAAACAGTGCCACGGAGGCAAGCAGAGCAAAGAGTAAGTGACCGTGTTGCTCAGTGCAAATATGGACTGCATCGCAGGTCATAGACTCCTTGGACATCCTGCATAGTTTTCTTAACACTCCCGGCGACGATATCGCCATGTGGCTCGTCACAGTGTGAGCAGCGCATTCTGCCGTTGCTTGTGTGAAAACGCAAGCAGTAGAAAACAAGCGATTTTTTAATGTTTTCGAAATAAACTGCTACCTCAGTGTTGTGTATAACCTTTTCTTTTTATTTACCATGTTTTACGAATGATGAAATTCTCTCTACAACGAAATTCTTCGCTATCCCCGTGAATTTTGTTGTAGCACCTCGCGACATTCGCACGAAAAATCAGCGCACACACCAGCATTTTTTTATTTAGCAGTGCTCGTGCATCGTTATTTGACATCCCAGAGCTGATGAATGAGTCAATCTGATGAACTGTTCAACTTACCTCTGAAAGCACGGTCAAATTTACGGTCGCGAAGTGCCTTAGCAGATTTGCCCTTTACACAACCGCTGGTAAAGCAGTTGTGCGATTCCGCTGACCCTTAGGTACTGGCAAGCTTCTGTTGACGACGAACTCAAACAGCTTTCGGCTAGAGTATCTGCCGTAGAAATTGTAAGGCTACTGCCTTACAAACTAACCCTGCTGCTACATCGCTCGGATAACCTGGCTGCGCGGATGACTTCTCCGATAAGCTGAAATCCATTCAGCATCGCTGTGATGCCGAAAACGGGCTTCATCACTTAAGTCTGCTATTTTTTGGAATCTCCGAGAGGGAAAATTCAGGCTTAACAGCGTGTTCTTGAAAAAGGTTTTAAGCTAAACGGCCACACATTCGCCATAAGAGAAGACTTTTCGCTTCAAACGCGGGTCGCTAGAAGAAAGCTGTTGGAATTTGCTAAATCGAAAAATGCCACTTGTAAGCTTACTGTTGACAACATGCGAATCGACAGCATGGTGTACGTGTACAATGAAGCATAGGACACTGTAAGGTCACTAACACAATAGCTATCGCGAAGCTCGAACTTATGATCACCTGACCAGCCCATCAAGTCACGGGTCATAGCAGCAACGAAGCTATCTGTATCATTTACGAACACACGAAGCTTGATTTCAAATCACATTAAATTATGCTCCAATTTAGATAATAGTGACTGCGACGTTCTACTGCTAACTGAAACCTGGCTTCATAGCGATATTACCAACTTATAAGTGCTAAATAACACTGACAGGTATGCCATATACCGGAAATACCGCGATGTAAGGAGAAGCAGGGGGGGGGGGGGGGGGGGGGGGGGGGGGTATGCTCATCGCAGTCAAAAAGCATATTTCTAGTTGTCTTGATGTCAGCAATCCATTAGAAATTATGTGGACCTGCATTACCTCCCAAGCTTCCAAGTCGAAAGTGTTCCTCTGATCTTTGTACTAACCTCTCCTCTATCCAAGAAAAGTTCAGAAATGCTGTATTAAATATTTATGGCAACTTCAATTTTCTGGACGCTGATTGGACTGACCTAACAACATGCTCAAACAACACTCGTGATTCCAATGACCTGACTCTTGGCTTCTCACTTACGTAGCTAAGCGTCAAGAGAACATATTACATCTCATATTCACATCTGCTCTTGATAACGTGAAAACTAACTTATAACCCTGGGGTTAGTGACCACTTGCTTCTGTCCACTGGGTTCGAGATATTTGTACGTTCATAAAACGCAGTACTACAAAAACATATTTACAGCTACAGTAAAGCAAATTTTGAAGACATTAACCACCACCTTGAAAACTTTTACAATACTTTCCTTCCATCATTCTTTTGGTCAGTCACAAAATACTGGCCTCTTTTTCAACATAATCTAACCGAGTAAGTTCATGCACACATACACGTATCTCGCTTAGAGTCACATTATCTAAACCATGGTTCCGCAGATCGCTGCACTATATATATATATATATATATATATATATATATATATATATATATATATATATATATATATATATATAAAGACTATTCAAAGCGGCAAAACTCAAGGGCACCCTTGAGTCTCAGGCAAAACATCGGGCAGAAGAAACCTACTGTCGCACCCTTCGTGACGCTAAACAGAAATTTATGTCTTGGGACCTTGAATCGCTCATCAAAAACAACCCGAGAAAGTTCTGGAAATCCATTTCCCCTACTAAAGCCATTAACAATATTTCACTGGTGCATAGTGACAGAAGAAATGTTGATTTTAACAATTGTGCTGCCCTGTTTAATAATTATTTCACGAGTGTTTTTACTAAGGAACACCATTCCTACATTCCATCTGTAGAAGAAGTTGATTATGGTACATGGACATCATAGTCGTCCCTAACGATGAATTCTCAGCACTCACTAAAGATATGAAAATATCGACGTGTGGACGAGTCGATGGCATTAAAACTAGAATTCTTAAACAGACCATTGCATCTTTTGGTATCATATTTGCCCGCATCTTTAATGAATCATTATCAACGGGTGAGATACAACATGAATGGAAAATTGGCAAATTCATACCTGTATTCAGATCTTGCAACAAATCTAATGTTAGTAACTATTGCCCTATATCTCTAACTAGTGTCCCGTGTAACCTGCTAGAACATGTATAATTGCATCTAATATCGCTAACTACCTTAAAGCTAGCAAATCATTTATCGGAACAAACATGGGTTTAGAAAAGGGTTTTCATGTGACACCCAACTAATGGAATTCACCAATGATTTATTCATGTTCATAGATAACTACCCTGACCTAGACTGCACGCTTATCGATTTCTCTGAAGCTTTTGATCGTGTTCCGCATTGTCGCCTAATATCTAAACTACCGTCACTAAATCAAGACTCCTTTGCAGTCCATTATATATATCCTGGATCAAACTTTCATTCCGTAAGCAGTATACCGTTACTGATTCCTTTTCATCTGCTCTAACATATGTAACCTCTGGTGTCCCAAGGTTGTTGTATATTGGTCTATTTGGTTTCGGTTCCGTGATCACTGCCGCAGGTGGCACCAGTGTTATTTATGTATATAAGCATGCGCAAGTTGGAATAAAGGGGCTTTTGTTCCGATGAGCACTCAAGTTGTCTAGTCGTTCGTTCATCGGCGGCACACGCCACAATTACATTGGCGACGAGGATGCTCGTTTAGGAGGGGTGTGATTTTTGTCATTTTCGCCAACTGTTTCCCGCGCCATGAGTGTTTCCGGACTGGCACCACCTCCCCCGTTCCTGCCCACACCTGGCCGCCCTGGATTTGCATCTTTGAAAATTTTCTGCTCGCATATGGTGTTGCGGACTGTGCGCCAGACTGTCGCAAGGCTCTCCTAATCCACAGCCTCAGCGTAGAAGGCCAGCGCATATTTCACACACTACCGCTTCAATCTTCGGCCAACGCAAAGTCCGGTGAGCCAACTACTGATACGAATTTGGGAGCTGTCAAGTACACTTCTCAGACACAGCATGAAGCGTCGTCGTACGATATCGCTGTCGCAGCGCTGCATGCGCACTTCACGACAAGAACAAATGTTGTGGTCGAACGGCACCGGTTCAGTAGGCGCGTGCAGCAAGTCGGTGAAATAGTCAATGAGTACATTACCGCGTTACGTGAGCTTTCTGCTACGTGCTCTTTTCCTTCTCAGGAAGATTCCTTGCGTGACCAGTTCGTTGCGGGCGTATTATCTCGGAACTTGCGTGAGCGGTTGCTGCTTGAAGGGTCTTCTCTTTCGTTCGCTCGAGCTGTACTAATAGCAACGCAGTTTGAGCAGGCAACCAATGATTGCAAAGAATTTGCTACTGCAGATGTCCAGAGCATAAATGCTTGCAAAAACACCCCTCTGCCCGCATCTTCTGCCAGCGACCCCTCGAAGCGGTCGCGCAGCCAACAGGGCCAGTGTTACCGCTGCGGTTCACCTAGGCACAACGCATCTTCATTCCGTTGCCCCGCCAAAAACAAGCGGTGTCATGGTTGCGGTATTATGGGTCATTTTCGCTCGGTCTGCAATAGAAACGCCGCTCCTGTTTGTGAACTAGACGACGAAAGTTCGATAGCTGAAGAAGTATTGAGCATTCTTGCCGTGATGACATCCAGTCGTCTCGCAATCTACGTATCGGTAGCAGTTGGTGAAACGAAGTTAACTTTCCTCGTGGATTCAGGGTCATCGGTATCAATTTTGACGCATGACCTATTTAGAAAGCATTCTGAAGGTCAGCAGCTTTCAGCTTCTCGAATTAGACTCCTGAACTATTCGAAGAAACCCATTCCAGTGTGCAGTTGCTTCTTTGCTGATGTCACGTACAATAACTGCACAACAAAGCTTCTTTTTTATTAACAAGGCACCTCCCTTTTGGGTATTGATGCAATTAGGGCGCTCAGTCTGCAGATTGATGGGTCGTCACTACAGTGCCTTGAAACGACAGCTGTGCGTACTAGCGCTCGAATGGAGCACACCGCAGTTATGACGGAAGCGGAGGATTCCATTCACCTTCCATCAGAATTAGTCGAAGAGTTTGGTGCTATTTTCGATTCAGGACTTGGCGTCGTGAAGGGTTTTGTTCATTGCGTCAAAACACGGTCGACAGTTCAGCCAGTTGCTTCAAAACTCAGGCGCCTTCCGTCCTCACTGCGGCCACGAGTCTCGGAAAAACTGTGCCGCTTGGAATAAATGGACGTGATAGAGCGAATAGAGGCATCCGCCTTTGTGTAGATCGACAGGTAAACAAAGCTGTCGTAGCAGATAGCTTTCCCCTCCCTCATACAGAAGAGCTATTGCATAGTTTAGTGGGGGCAAACCACATTTCCAAGCTTGACCTTGCATCAGCTTACCATCAGGTCATGCTTCACTACGAGAGCCGCGATTTGACGGCTTTTATAACACACGACGGCCTCTTTCGTTTTAAGCGCGTGTGTTTTGGGCTCGCGTCGGCACCATCTGCTTTTCAGAGTATGATGTCGAAAATTCTGCAGGGCTGCAGCGGCGTCCTGTTCTATATCGACGACATCATTATGTTTGGGAAGGGCAGAGAGGAACACATGGCGAATCTTACCACAGTGCTGAGGTGCATAAAAGAGGCAGGACTCAAATTGAACACGAAGTGCGTCATCGATACGCTGGAGCTTGCGTTCTTGGTCCACAGGATCACCGCAAACGGTATTGTGCCATTGAAGAAAAAGGTACTTCCATCCGAGACACTCCAGCGCCTACGGATCCAGCCAGCCTTCGATCATTTCTGGGATTGGTCGAATATTATTCTAGGTTTATTCCCAATTTCGCTGACATGGTTGAGCCAATGCGTGTCCTGCTAAGAAAGGGGCAGCGATTCGTTTGGTCTGACGAGATAGACGCTAGTTGCAGAAAGACCAAAGACGCACTGGCATCTAGCTCTATACTGAGAATGTTCGATGAATCTCTTCCAGTCTTAGTGTCGACGGACGCATCAGAGTGTGGAGTTGGAGCAGTCCTACAGCAGGTGGACGGACATGAACTGCACACTGTCGCTTTCGCGTCTCGAGTCCTTTCGCCAGCCGAGAGGAAATATTCGGTAGGAGAACGGGAAGCGTTGGCCTGTGTTTGGGCGTGCGAACGGTGGCACGTGTACTTGTGGGGGCGCCACTTCACATTGCTCACTGATCATCAAGCCTTGGTGGCATTGCTTTCAACCCAACGAACAGGAAGGAGCCCCTTGCGGGTAGCACGATGGACAGAGCGCCTACTACGGTACAACTATATCGTCGAGTACCGCAAGGGGTGGCAAAACCAAGGGGCGGACGCACTGTCACGCCTGCCCACGTCGTCTTTCCAGGAAGAAGAAATGCTGTTTGACGAGGTAGTATCAGTTCTCGAAATTCCTTCCTGCATTACCAGAGAACAGTTTGAGCAGTCCCAATTACAAGATAGCACACTGCAACAGAGCAAAACTTATGCGCAATCGTTGTGGCCTGCACACAAATCGTTATCGGCTGAGCTTCAGCCATTCTTCAAAGTACGTGACGAACTTTCTGTGGTAGACAATCTTATCTTGCGAGGCGAACGGCTTGTGGTTCCCACGTCACTCATGCAGCAGGTAATCGCTGCAGCACATGAGTCGCATCTCGGAGTGGTGCAAACAAAAGCGCGGCTGCGAGAATTGGTGGCCGGGCATGGACCGCCAAGTCGAGCTAGCTATCCAGATGTGTAGCATATGCCAGGAAGCAGATAAGAGCGTCAAGGTGCGAGCTACACCCTTGCAACCGGTCCCCTTTCCAGAGCTGCCATGGCTCAAACGAGGCACAGATATTGTGGGCCCTTTTGAGAGGGCGCCCTACGATTGCAGATATGCAATCACGCTTGTAGATTATTATTCCAAATGGCCCGAAGTGCATTTCAGTAGCGAGACGACACCCAGCAAAGTAATATGCTTCTTAGTCGCTGTGTTCGCACGCGATGGCTACCCAGAAGAGGTTATTTGCGATAACGGTCCACAGTTTGCATCTCGGGAGTTGGAGGCATTTCTTCAAGATCGCAGCATCCAGGTCAAACATTCGTCCGTATATTATCCACAAGCAAACGGCCAAGTGGAGCGCTTTAATAGAGTATTAAAAAGTTTCATTCAAGTGGCGGTTCTTGAGCAGCGGCCCTTGCGCCAGGGGGTAGCAGAGTACCTGGGTGCTTACCGATACACACCGCATGCTACAACGGCAAGGGCTCCAGCTTTTCTGCTACACGGGCGGCTGCCAAGAATTCGGTTGGATGCCGACGGCCATCCGTCGGCAACCTTCTTTGATGACCCTAACTCGGAACTCTGGTGCTTACGTGAGCGGGTAAAGCAAAAGCAACACAGCAGCAAATGATACACGGACGCTCAGAGGGCTGCAAGGGAAACCAGAGTTGACATTGGTGACTTTGTCAGAGTGAAGAAACCTACTAGATTTAAAGGCGACCTCGAATTCAGCCACCCAAGAGAAGTGATCAGCAGGAAGGGACCATTTTCTTTTCGCCTGGCTGACGGCAAAACGTGGAATGCATCCAAGTTCTCAAAGGTCATATTTGCAAGATGTTTCAGCGCCGAATCAGATTGCATTGGCTAGGATCGGAAGGCAGCCACGTCCGCTCTCAATGTGGCTGGTTGCTGAACGAACACTCAGCATCGCTGAAGTCCATAGACCTTTCACATTCTCACGGTGTTGTTGGCGGTAGTTGCAGCATGGTCCCTAGAAAATGTTGCTAGTCTACCGTCTCCGTGAAAGGCCGCGTTTCGCGCTGATAATACATGCTCTGCGGTCACGGCGCTCCGATCGATCGTGGCGCCCCCTGGCACCCAGCGCATAGACCAGTGGCACGAGTTTTCAAGGTTTTCAAGGACCCGTGCGGACCCTGACTTGCGACCAAAGCAGAGCCTGAAAGGTAGCTGTGTCGCAGAACAAAAATGTGATGGGGTGAAGTATATAAGGGTTATTTTTAATGTGATGTTGACTGAATTTGTCTTTGGAAAGTTTAAATAGTTTGTACAGTAACTCCCATATTCAGAATAACTCCTTAACTTGACTTGCCACCGCCTCAAGGTAGCGCATTTGAAATGCATTTGGGCAACCTTGGCACCGCCTGAAGACAGCGCGTTCGAAATGTGTTTGTGCTGCACTGAAGGGGGTGACAAGTCAACTTCAAGTGAAGGAGCGTTTCTGAATAAGGGGCTGAAATTCCAGTGCAAATACGATCGAACACCACACCCTATTAAAACAATATTCAAAGTTTCGAATATTCACACACCACTAGTTCTAACACTAAAGTGTTATAGCGACTTCTTGAAGGAAAACCAGTCTGGTCACACTTGGAAAGAAATCGTCGCTATTTTAACTCACTTATTCTAGAAAAACTTCGTTCAATCAAGTTTTGCCCAGTCAGTTTTGTTAATTCGATTTGACAACAACACTGAACCCTATGGGTACATGCCAGTGAACTATGAGAAAGCCGGATTTCGTTGGGTCAAGTTTAAACTGTATCTCCCCCTTTTTTTTTATAACAGCATCACTGTGCTCGAAGGCAGAAGAAATTCAGTTGCTCATTCCTAGTGTAGTGGTGAAGGAACATTAACAAAAGGTGGGACAAGATGACATTACTTTCCGTGTTGTTTTGAGTGTTTGTTCCCTGTGCGCTATAGAGCATGAAGTGTAGACTAGATGGACTAAACAAACTTTCCAATCAGGTCTGTGATTCTCTTATATAATTATGCTGCAATGTCATAAAGTAAGATGAGATAGTCGGCAAATGTAATCATGAATTAAAATGTCACAGCTGAAATAGTACCAATCATGATGCAGTTGGGTCCCTTTCCACACACTTTTTGTATGAGTGCGTGCGTAATTCAGCAATGCCGAGCTACAGTGCACATAACGTTGAAATAAAACATGCTCACCAGGCGGCCAATGCGTCCCCCCCTCTTCTCTAACTCCGCCAGAGCGTTCTTAAAAGGTGTCGGGGTGCGGGGTCCATTCTCTTGCTTCTTCACCAGGGGCGTGTTGAGGGGCTCATTGCTGCAACGAAAGACAAAGCACTCACAGCCTCTGAAGGCCCAATGATCTGTAGCTGCACACGTCCCTGAGCAAGCAACCCAGTTTCAATACAGCCACATTAGAACACCAACCGCATTAAGATAGATCAATGATTGTGTACAAATCGCACAGTGACGCCAAATCATGATGAACACACTTATGCCAAGCACGCACTGCTTTGCATAAGTGCGTTGGTAGAGCAACCGCTCTGGAAAAGCGTTGGTCAAGAGTTCCAATGCCGGAACCCGATGATTTTTCAGGCAAAAAGCTTTTCTTTCCGAGAAATCCAAACGGATTTCCTTGTGGCTTCGTGCTACAATGATGCGATTGTCTTTTCTCTCTTTCTTAACGCTTCTGCCACCTAGCGGGGTTTCGCAGAATTCATTTGCAATACTTATGTCCATGTGCTTTGAGTTTACGATGAACTCGCCCTTGCGCTGTCGATTGCTAGCTTCATAACTCGTTCAATTGGTAGAGCAACCGCCCCAAAAGCTGTTTCCGGTTTCAAACCTCGTACCAGGATGAACTTTTCAGCAATTAAGAAGCTTTAGGCCTTACCGCTAATCTTGTTTACATTCGTTCCTTTTTGTTCCTCTCCACACACTTTCTCTGTTCCTCTTCCTCTCATAGGGGCATTTAGGCATTCGGCTTCGAGAATTTGCCGCTTTGCTCCTAAGCAACCGTTTTTGTTGTAGTTCACCGCTGCGGGCTTGCATGTAGTTGTGTTAGTGGGTATTAGGAGCATTTATGGTTGGATAAGGTTGAAAATTCGCGATGCTTGCATCCTCTTCTCTATTTGCAGGGCGGACCGTTTGTCATACAACTGAGAGACGAGTAGGGCTAAAGTGTCTTTCTTTTTCTTTTTTGCCTCCCATGCTCCTGTGTTCAAGAGCCATAGCTCCACACTGTTAGGCACGATAGTATACTACCCTATTTACTCACATAGTGAACGCACTTTTTTTCTCAGAAAATCGGAGCAAAGTTGGGGGTGCTTATAATGCAGAGAAAATTTTATCAAAACTTTTTCGGTATGAGTAAAAAAATGCGGTAATGCAAATAAAGTTAGGTCACTACGCTTATTTGTTACACTTCACTCATCCTCTGGGGTTGAAGGCGCTATCTTCTGCAAGCTGTTCCCGTGCCGCCCTTGCACGCCATAAAAGCATTTCAAGGATATCTTTTCTTGCAATCGTTGAACTGCAACAGTAGTATCTGCTTGGATCTCGAAGGGCGCCCAAAAGGGTGCGCTATGATGCCATGAAGCACTTAGCCAACTTCGTGGCAACCTCGCACGAAGACCGCGCCGCCGTCGTTGACATTGAAGCAAGCAAGCAACCAACATTGCTGCAAGCTACCACCGAAGCATCAAAACAAACTGTCAATAACAAGATCAACGACAAAGTACAGTGGTCGCCTGGCTTGACCCAAAGTGAGAATCGGGGACCATGTTCCGGAAATAGTCACGATATTTTCTGGGCAACAATGATTTTTTTTCTGCCTTTCCGGAAATTTGCGACGTGATGGTGGCGAATGGCCCTTTGAAACAGCCATAGCGACAACAAATCCTGTCGTCGTCGCTCAAAAATTCCAAGCACGTGGTTGGGCCTTAAAGTTTCGTATCTGCAGGAAGCGACCATCGATTGGCGCGGGAAGTTTCGTGACCTGCTCTCGCTCTGTGCTTGTCAGATGCGGTGTTTCTACACTCGCACTGTTCGTGAACCCCGCTTCGGAGCATAGATTGGGCATAGATCAGGAAGATTGGGTACATGCCGTGCACAGGGTGCATGGCAGTGGGCGAGAGGGGGGGAGCAAGGCGAGGTAGCCGAGAAAGTTGACATAATAAAAAACGAAAGAGATGCAACGGTTAAGGAGGCGCCAGGTCTCGATTAGCGGGACTGCAGCAGACGAATGAGTGGGTGCGTTTATTACTCGGGGAAAAGGAAAATCCAGACTTTGTTGACTGAAGTTGGGGATGCGCTTATTATGCGAGTGCGTTCATTACGCGAGTAAATACTGTATATACCTCTCGAACCTCTTTCTTGCCGGTGGCACCGTGTTATTTGCTGCATTAATAGTTGCTAAAGTATACCAGCACATTGCGTGTGTAGTGAGGAGCGCCTTCGAGTACCTGAAAGTGAAGCTGTAATTCACGAATATTGAGCAATGTGCAGTGGGGCGGCTCGTGTACTGCGACAGCAACCATTCCATGCATGCATAAGATACTAGTAGTGGATGCGCCGACATGGAATGGATTACTTGGTTTTCAAATTTCACATTGGGTGGGGTCCAAGAGCTGCAGGATCCTCTTCTGCGATACTAAGTGGCGTGTCTGCGTATGCTGCAATCAACGTTAGGTCGCTTGAAATCAAAAGTCGCTTGCCCAGGCTTCAAACCGTATCGTGCATGGCAGGCGGGCCGTGCTGGCCTGAATAGATTTGAAACCATTTTACCCTAGATGCAAATTTTGTGGCTGCACGAGCTGACCGTGATTTGTCCTGCCAAGCTGATAGCAACATTGCGAAAACCACACAACCGACGTACGATGCGGGGAAGAGGCTTTGTCTTGCCCGACATTAGCAGACCATCGGACCCTCGTGGAGCGGGCACAAAGATAAGTTCTTCGTGCCGTACCCTGTTAGCGACACGAACGGAATCTGTGGTGCCTTAATTCTGTTGATTTACGCTTGCGACGCGACGTTTTCTGACATGCTTTGTGGCATAGACGTTTGCAGCAGTGTTTGTTAGCCATGCTTTCTGGGCAACATCATTCGTTTGTCTTTCTTTATTTATTTCAATATACTGCAGACCTTTTCGGTCCAAGCAGGAGCGGTAATTCAGAAAATTATTACAATGCTGTCGAAAGTGACGATCTCATTAAAAAACAAAAAAAAGTTACTTCAATGCTGGATGGTTGTTAACAGTTTCAAAGATACAGAGTTTATATCAGATGCGAGCCTAATACAAAAATGTAATACACTAACCAGAACAAAAAATATTGCTGATTTCTTGAGCAAAATATTCTGCCATTACACAGTTCACCGCATATATATATTTTTTTCATTGTTCAAGAGTTACCCTGCATCGCCCTTGGGTTTTACAACAGAGATACAAATAGGTCTTCATTTACAGAACAAACTTGTTCTTCAGAAAACTTGTTCCATTCGGCTACACACTTCGGAAGAAAGAATTCCCAAACATTCACGTCCTGGGCCGGTACTCACGGATTTTGTGTTTGTGATCATTACGCATAGAAACAAACAAAAATAATTATATTTGTTTATGCCTATCTTGTTGTTATATCATGAGTTGCAATTCGTCCCCCGAGTTACTCAGCAATGCAATGTCATCGGCGAAGCACAGGTAACTAAGGTATTCTCCATTAACTCTTATTCCTAACTGTTCCCATTCTAGGCCTCTGAAAAACTCCTGTAAGCACACAGTAAATAGCATTGGGGAGATTGTATCCCCCTGCCTTACACCCTTTTTGATTGGTATTCTGCTTTCATTATGAAGCACTATGGTAGCAGTTGATCTACTGTAGATTTCTTCTAGAATGTTTATATATGCTTCATCGATGCCCTGATTCCGCAGTGTCTGCATGACTGCCGATATTTCGACTGAATCAAATGCCTTCTCGTAATCAATGAAGGCTATGTGTAGTGGTTGGCTGTATTCTGAGCATTTCTCTATTTCTTGATTGATAGTATGAATGTGGTCGATGATTGAGTAGCCTGTTCGAAATCGTGCTTGTTCCTTTGGTTGATTGAATTCTAATGTTTTCTTAACTCTGTTAGCAATTACCTTTGTAAATAGCTTGTATACTACGGAGAGCAAGCTGATCGGCCTGTAATTCTTTAAGTCCTTGTCATCTCCTTTCTTATGTATTAGGATGATGTTAGCATTTTTCCGAGACTCTGGTACTCTTCCCGTCAGGAGACACCTCGTAAACAGGGTGGCTAGTTTTTCTAACACAATCTGTCCTCCATCTTTCAGCAGATCTGATGTTACCTGGTCCTCACCAGCAGCTTTGCGTCTTTGCATGCTCTCCAAGGCTTTCCTGACTTCTTCTATCATTACTGGTGGGGTGTCATCTGGGTTACTCCTAGTTCTTACAGTATTAAGGTCGTGGTTGTCCAGGCTACTGTACAGATCTCTGTAAAACTTCTCCGCTATTTTAACTATCCTATCCATATTGGTAGTTATTTTGCCTTCTTTGTCCTTTAGTGCATACATTAGAATTTTGCCTATCCCAAGTTTCCTCTTCACTGCTTTGACGCTTCCTTCGTTTTTCAGAGTGTGTTCAATTCTCTCCATGTTATACCTTCTTACATCAAATACCTTACGCCTAGAAACTTAGAAAGCTCTGCCAGTTCTATTTTGTCTGTTGTACTTGAGCCTTTCATGCTTTGACGCTTCTTAATGAGATTCTTCCTTTATTGGGAAAGCTTTCCAGTGTCCTGTCTAACTACCGTGCTTCCAACTTCCACTGCACACTCCGTAATGATACTCGTCAGATTATCATTCATTGTATCTATGCTAAGGTTGGTTTCCTCAATAAAAGCAGAGTACCTGTTTTGAAGCGAGACTCTGAATTCCTGTACTTTCCCTCTCAGTGCTAGCTCATTGATTGGCTTCTTGCGCATCAGCTTCTGTCGCTCCTTCTTTAAGTCTAGCCAAGTTCGAGACCGTACCATTCTATGGTCACTGCATCGTACCTTTCCAACCACTTCCACATCTTGCACGATGCCTGGGTGTGCACTCATAATAAAGTCTATTTCGTTCTTATTTTCGCCATTAGGGCTCCTCCATGTCCACTTGTGGTTTTCTCGTTTTCGGTAGAAGGTATTCAAAATCCGCAAATTATTGCGTTCTGCGAATTCTACTGGTAGCTCTCCTCTGGCGTTTCTAGTGCCGATGCCATAATCTCCTACTGCCTGGTCTCCAGCCTGCTTCTTCCCTACCTTTGCATTAAAGTCGCCCAT